TTTTTACAAGTTAAATATCGTTATATTTTTCATCATTTTAACGAATCTTATCATATTAGTATGAATAATTATTATAATAAATGAATAGTATACATTATGGTAAAACATCAATATCCCTTCAAAGTAGAGGTGAGAAAGAAAGGAAAAAAAAAATTATTATGTATAACACATTTTATTTTTCTCCACTTGATTAAAAATATCTGTCCTGAATAAGACAGGCAACGTTATTTAAAATAAAATAAAATAAAACAAAATGAGATACCTATATGCATACGATTTAAATTGATATAAAAGTAGAGTTGTTACTCCTTAATTACAAGAGATATAATGAACCATGGGCATGGGTTCTGTACCCTTAGCAATATGAGTGGATTTAGTTTAAACATAAAAAGAACAAAAACAAAAAAAAAAACGGCTCCTCTAACAAGTCTCTCCATTAAAGCATCGATTTGTATATTTGAATTAATTAAATAATTTAATATTTAATTATTTATGTAAAAGTTACTGCGCCGCATGCGGCCTCCAAACGTTTTTGCGGCCTCTAAGAATAAAAAGGTTTCCCATCTATGACATATACCATTGTAAAATTTATTACCATTAAAATTTGTCTTACACAGTATACATGATAAGAGTTTATATTGTATGCAATGTATGTACAAATAATTTATTAAATGGTAGAACTTTACTTGATTTTTCTATATTAAATAACAGTTGTTGTTATTATATTACTATTGATGGATATGTTAATATATTTTGTTCGTATTGATATAATATTATAGTATTAATGATCAATGCTCACTAAAAAAATATATATATATATATTTATTGTTTGGTTTATCCTCTAGTGGTTTTTAACCAGGAGTCTAATGCAAGCATGAATGTATGTATTACATATTTTTTCTGATTATATGCGTTATTATTATTATACGATAGATTATAATACATAGAAGGATGATTAACATATTTTATATTTTATGTTTTTAAACATTTATTTTTGATCTCTTTTTTGTCGTTTTCTTGTTGCAACCCAGCTCAATATATATTGTTCACTGATTATGAAATATATTTCTATATAAATTATATTTATGACTTTAAACTTTTCGAATCGTGCTTAACCGGTTATAGCCAGATGTTGTAATCTTTGACAGGTCATGGTAATAAATTGTATTCACTATTCAATCAGCAAGTCATATTTAAAGAATACATAAATAAATTATCAGTATTTAATCGATGTTGTATAACTTGTAAATGCGTGAAGTCTGAGGGACATTTGCTTTTATTTAAAATAAGTTTTAAGTTACGAAACATGTATTTTTTGGAGAAAAGATATTAAAAAATGATATACACCGATAGGTAAATATAATTTCCAGTTTGTTATTTATTCTAGTCTTCAATGAACTAACAATTAATATTATTCTAAGAAATTATCTTTTTTTTTTTTTTTTTTAAATTTATTATTTGTTTATTTAGAATTATTACATTCTGTCACATCAAGGACAAAGAAATTATCTAAAATTAATTTATAACTGAAAATATAAAAATTAAATTACAATGACATTTTTCGTACAATTGCAATCAATAGTCTTGTCCAAACATATTCCTGGCAATATTTCTAAATTTTTCTATTAGAAAAATTCTCAATATTCAAAACGGTTTGTGAGAACTTTGGAGTTTATGTGTTTGTCTTGAAAATTCAAGATACCCAAACGATCCTAAATTTAAAACCCACGAAGAAAGAGTTGGAGTAAAGCTTTTACAAATCATTTTAAATTTTATTATTAGTATTTTAATTTTATTGAGTATTTTAAATTCATAATTAGTTAAACAATGTAGGAGCAATCGAAGGCTGAGCTTGTCTTTTGACAAAAATAAAAGTAATCCTTATTGTTTTCTTATAAGATTTTAATACAAATATTTTAAATTTCTTTGGGGATTTGCTCCACTAAAGCATTTTGCTGCCTTGATTATCAAATGGTCAAAGCTGATATCAATTTTTATTTTTATAATTGTACGATAAACATACATTTTCGTAACATTTACAATTATTTTTTATTTAATTCTAATGTGATCTTTGTAAAAAAATAATATAATTAACAAATTGTAATAATTTGGTGACAAATGAGATTTTATATTTAATTGTTGTTAAATTTACTGTTTAATTTTATTTAATTTGTTGGTTCTTTGATATACATTCAGTTAATTTTTAGCCTTTATAGAAAATTAAAAGTTAACTAATGAACATAATAAATAAAAACAAGAAGTTTTACTTTTGGTACAGTGTTTTTTCTTTTACTATAATGATCTTTTTAATTTTAAGAGTATTAATATCTATGAATTTATTTATAATTATATCAAACTCTCAAACTTATTTTCATGAGTGCTAATAAAATAGTTTTCTATATAATGTTGGAACACCAAAAGCCCATTTTTTGTTATACTGAAAGCAAAATCATAATCCACATCTGCTCACTATTAAATGCAATTTAGTCCAATTTCGAAATTAAATGTTTTTAAATAATTTTTTATGGATTAATTATTGTGTTACGGGGAAAATAAAAGAATAGATAAATGAATAGTTCATTTTAAGAGCTTTATAAAACTATGAGGCTACCATACCATTGTTTTTAATCTTAAAAAATTCTCATATTTGAAATTATACTTTTAACTAAAAGAGGCTAGCTCCAAAATAAAAAAAAATATTATAATTGGTAATTGGTTGACTGTCGTGGATAATGATGAAGGTCTGAACTTCAGGCCGAAACGTCGGCATATGTAAAAAATAAATATTATCATTTATTTTTGCCTTCCTTTTTGACTGAACACCCCAACTATTCTTCTCTTAAAAAAAAAAAATAATATTAGTTTGATTTTTATTTAATAACGAAAATTATGTAATTTATTTTATCAGAATTTACAAAAATCATAAAATACTTCCTGATTAGGTATTGTTCAAAACAATAACAACAATAATATGGTTGAAAAAATATTTTTTTTTTGGATTGCATTTGGTCTAACTCATTTAACTAAGCCACCAAGATATACTGCAAATGAAATATGTTTTATTTCAATACAATATTATGTTTAATAAAACGCTTGTTTGTATGTGCCTTTAAAAAGATGTCAAATTAGATATTTTTCAATTTATTTTAGGTTGATTTCTAGACAACAGCTAAAAAGGAGCACTATTCAGTTTTTATTAATACATTATATATTATTATAAGCTACCTGAATTTTGTAAATAATAAAAATAATAAGTAGTAATGATAATAAAATGATAATGATAATAATAATAATATTGTATGAAAGAGTAGAATTATTCAGGAAAGTAGAGATAAAAATCTTTTTTCGTCAAAACGACTTATAAAATGCCCTTTGAACCAGACATCAAGGAAAGTGTTTCGTTTTAAGAAAAATTATATACTTCCTGAAGCCATAGAATTAGTTTTTTTTATTTTATTTGAATGGAATATTATGTTTCCTATTATGTTTATTGCATTGACGTACTGTTGAATAAATTTTCTTTGTATTTAGTAAAATCCAAAGAATTACCTTTCTTTTTTATAATCTTATCGAGGAATAGGAGGAATTAATTAAATTAAGAATTTCTTTGCATGTTTTAATATTATAACCGGCGGGGAAGAAGGAGTGGCCATATGGTTTTATGCTGATTAAATTCGATCCAGATCCTTTTTTATTTAAGAGAATTTTCTGCATCGAAACAAATAGTGGGCTTCACCAAGGAGATTCAACCATAAAATATGTACGTTAGCTATAGGATACGTAGTGCGGTTGGAGTATTATTGTGGAGTATCATAGTATTGTTATCAATACTATGTAGAATCTTCTTACAATACCGATGATATACATCCAATTTTATTCTACATCAATTTAGACTGTTGTGAAACTATATTTATTCTATTTTTTGTTGATTTGAAAAAAAGTATTAACGTGCAGTTCATATATCTATCTGATGGGTAAGATTTGCCTTTAATAAAGTTAAGGTCTTGTATTAATTCATATTTTGATTACATAGATTCTGACCTGGGTTTCCATCATAGTTTTTAAATTTTCTTTTTGTTCAGTCAAATTTTTCATTTTTTTCCTTTGGTAGAACTTAAAAATTACTGATAAAAAAATAATATGTAATATTGTATGTAGCTACTCGTTTCAGTCTGTTTTATATATATTATTATTATTTATTTTATTTTTTTCTTCCCTACCTCGCCTTTTAGGCTATACGGGATTTTCCCGGGCCGGGGGGTGAGGGCGGGGAATTTAAAATCCCCTCCGGCACCGGGACGCGAACTCGTACTTTTTATATCATCTCAAATCTCTGTTATCCGGTTGCCAGGCAACTAGCGGTGCTGTTACACACGCTTTAGCCTATTCGGCCACCCCGCCCCCTTATATATATTATTAAACAAATTGGTTAAACTTTATCATCTGAGGTTTTGATTAATGAAAATTATTACTCTTTTTTTCCTCTTACGAACTTGGAATTTCCCCCAAAAATGGAAATTTTTCCATCAAAGTGGAAACCCTGATTAGGAGACTAAAAAAATATAATAGATAAAAATAAAAATTAAAAAAATATATATACAGGTATTTCGATGATGTCAGTGCAATATATTGTATTTTATTTCGGTATGTTTGCATGACACTTCGTAAATTTATGTATGTCTATCTATTTATGTTTTGTTTATAAAATGAAGTATTACGGTTTTGAAAAAAAGCATCATGTACTGTTTCTTTTTGTATATTTGAATTTTAGTAAATAGATTTTGTCTCCTGAAATATTTTAAGAAATAAATGTAGCTATTTTTTTAAAATTTATTTATTTATTTATGTTTTATTTTTTTATTTATTTATTTATTTTTTTTTTTGAGGAGAAGGAAGGTTAATTTAATAGTGTAACTTTGATGTCATTCAACCGTTGCTTCGACACGATTACGAGTCCGAACTTCTGAAATATAATTGGCTATACCTCTGCTTCTACTTACCTTTCTTGGTCTGGACGCAGTCCTTCCTGGTGGAATCTGTTGGCCAAGAGCAGCTAGCGGTATCGTCGTCGTAAATGAGCCCGGGTGGACAAGGTGTCTCGTTGGGGACTCCATCGATGCAGTTGACGAACTTGTCGCATACGCCTGGATCTGGGTGCCTGAAGAAGCCGTTAGCTCTGGGGCAACCTTCTGTCCTTTGTGGTTCCTCTGCAACATGTTAGCAATGTCAGTTAGGATTCCGTTACATTCGAGAGCATTAAAGAAATATTCGCGATTATTTTTAATTAAATAAACTAAGAGATATAAATCAATACAAATATAATGGTGGAATAATAATTTACCGTAGATAATATGATTAGGAAGTTGATGAGGAGTAGCAGTCATAGATAAAAATAAAAATAATATTTTTTATTGACATTAAAAAAAAGGAAGGACTGCAACCTCCATCCAACTTTCCAACCATTATAGAAACATAGAATTTATGGAATAATAAATTTTATGAATACTTTAAAACTAAAACTAAAAATAAATGATCATATTAGTTATTCTTTTTTTTTTTTAATAAGCATATTATAAGTATCCATTAATAGTTAAATTAGATACTTTTTTTTTATGTAGACTTTCTAGGCTACTTGACAAACGTTCTAAAGTATCGGTGATTAATATAATAATTATTTTTAAAGTCCTCATTAAACAACTTCGGACATACGGAATAGAGTTATGGGGAACAGCAAAGACATCAAATTTAAAATGATTCCAATCGTTCCAGTCAAACCTTCTTCGGAAAATTGTAGACGTCCCCTTTTATGTTGCTTACGCTACACACTGACCTTGACATTTCTTTTATTACAGCTACTGCTACAGACCGTTTTAATAATTTTCAAAAGGAGTATTGTGAACACAGTACTCATAGTAATAGAGTGTATAAAAAAAAAAAAAAAAAGACCGTCTTATCAAATTCAAGATTTCAAAGGACAGTAAATATTTTATTTCTATTTAATGCTTAGTAATTCCTTCAGAGCATTCTCTAAGGTTGTTTAATCCCATTTGACTTCTTCCACAAAAAAGTCTCAGTTTAGTTATTTTTTTCAAAGAAGAAGCAAGACAGTGTCCTACGAAATTCTCGTAATTTTAATGTTTTACGAAAAAAAAAAAAAATCCGCTGCTCCACAGCTGAAACAACTTGTAAAGTTGTTAAATATGAAGGAAAAGGTGTACTTGACCAACGCACTGTGCGGCGTTGGTTTGAAAAATTTAGCAGTGGAGATACAAGAAGAGGAAAGAAAGAAGAGCTCTGGGCGACGATTAATGGATATTGTTGAGGTTTTGCCAGAAGCTGTTGAGTCAAATCCGTCCATTAAGTACTCTAGAACTTGCCAGAGAGTGGTGGAAAAGAACAGTAGACTGATACTTCACTTACTCTTCAAAACTTACTCCTCAGCAATCAGCTAAGAGGTTAGAAACGTGTGAAAATTTATTACGGGGGTAATTTGGAAAAAATCCCTACTTTGCATTTTATTTTTAATTTTTAAGGTGAAATTCATTACGAATTTGTTCCTGATAGATGCTCTAGGAATTCTGAACTATACTGCGAACAATTGAAAAGATTGTCAGAGCGTTGTCCTTCTTTGATCTAAGTCCGAAAAGGAATTCATTTCATCAAGATAATGGTCGTCCTCACACTTCCCGTCGAAGAAAAGAAAAGTTCATGGGTTCGAACTCCTGCCTCATACACCATAGTCCAGACATTGCTCCATCGGATTATTACCTATTTAGATCCATGGCCTAACAGTCATCCCAAAGAATGGTGTCAGCGAGGGGTCGAGAAATTGGCTAGCAGATGGCTAATGGCAGTAGATAACAATGGACTTTGGATGTTAATTGTATTTTATAACAAAGAAATAATAATACAAATATTTGGTTGGAAACGGTAATTTTTTTTTATACACCCTATTAAAATTATATTCTCTGGAATATCTTGATTCAATATTCTTTTATAGACAAATGATAAAAATCGTATCTATATTTCGTTACGTGAATAAAACTATTATTTTTTTATACAAGTTTTTATTTACTTAAAATATTCAAATTAAAAAAAAATTCATCCCTGCCCTATTTAACTATATAACTATAAAAAAATTAATTACAACTCATACCTGTATCAGCATACCAGTCCACACAACCTGCTCCATTCATTTCTTAGCCTAACCCACTTTTTTACAGAGTTATCGCAACAATCTAGTATTCGCGAAAGGAGAAAATGTATAAGCAGGAACTGATATATTCATGTTGGGAAATAAGAGGACGCCTTTTCAGAACTGGTTACCTTTAGCTTTTTTATATAAAAGCATGGGTCGCAGTGTTGTTGTCTGTTGGATTAAACTTCTTTCCCCAACTCCATTGGGACGTTTAAGGTGTGTTGGATATAATTCATTGGCTATTTTGGTCCTAGTCGGTCCTGCCAGAATAAAGTTTTACTGTCGCCGGTGAAATTTGAACAGGCAGCTTTCGATAAGTGTTGCCCAGGATGGCTATATATAATACGCACAACCTACACGATTAGATTATGAACAACTTTCGTCAGATATTCTAATTATTTGTTGACTGTAACAGTGAAATATATTTGATTTATCCGAAATTTCAAATTAAGTTTTTTACAATTTTATAAAAATAATTTCTTCTCTTGAAACTACTGAAAAGATACCTTCCTGTACAGAACCTCTTCACTTTTTATAGTCAAAACATAGCACAAACACTGACCCTTTTTATGGAATTATTAACATCCGCCTGAAACTTCATAAATAGTTTTCATATATCTTCTTATATCTCATCATAACCTACAACTATTTTATTTACGAAAACTCTTAGAATTGGGTCGTTTTCAATCTGTAGGGGGGTAAACTTTGTCTATTTAATTAGGTTCTAAAAACTCGTAAATACACATTGTTTTCCTACTTGGAAAGTAAGATAATTCGATCACAGAAAAGATAAAAAAGGTTGCCTACAATAATATTGGGCCGTTTGTCCTATTTAACCTCGTTATTTTGAAATTTTTGGGGTGAAGGTCGTAAACGGCTCAATATTTTAAGTCCACCTTTTCTCTCGATTTTGTGATAATCAAATTATCTTACGATTCAAGTAGAAAGCAAATGTGTATTTACGAGTTTTTAGAACCTAATTAAATAGACAAATTTTAGAAATGTGATGTTTTATATTATTTTTGATTTTACTGATGAGATTCATTTATGATTTTTAAGATTTTGATTTGGTTTTATAATAAAATTCTATTTTTAAAGCCAAATAATAATTCTAGTCGACACAAAAATAATGATCGATTTACCAAATTTCTGAAAGCGGAAAAGTATAGGTGCTTACTCGAAGTTATTTTCTAGATTCGTGGATGTAATAAGTCTTAGCTTTTTGTACGAAAGGGAATAAGGTTGTTATCGTAGACTCCATAATAATATTTGAAATGAACGATGAGGTTCAAGACTTCAAAATGCAAATAAAGAAAGAGAAAATCTATAAAACATGCATTGAATGTCCATAAGAGTAATATAAAGAGAAATTTGATAAGAGAGGTTTTCAGTTTGGAACATTTTAGGAGAACCATTTATCTTTAAAATGGCAATTCTTTAGAAAAGTAGGAACAGAATATTGCAGAAACTATTATTTTTTGGTGATAATCCTGCACCATTTCCTAAATTAATTCTGACCATTGATTCAAGAATCCTATACGCAAAAAGGAATATAAATAGAAAAAAATAATCATAACTTTCGATATTTTGAATGATAGTCCCATCAGACTTTATCAAAATCCTTTTTGTGTCTTCTCTTAATAAATTATTGATTAGACTGACGAGCACGCTGTGTCATTTAGCAACTCGACATATTTTAGCAGCCTTACCATTTAATTGTACTTCTTTCTTATTGTACATCTTTAATTTAGAACATGTGTAATTATTATTGCTCTGAGGAATCATGTTATATGTAGAGGAAGTTGGTCTCATTATCGTCTACTTTCAATCAAGATAATTTTAATCTTTGATCAAAGCCGAAAATGTGGCTCGTACAATGGCCAATTACCTCGTTGATTCAGTGCATAAGGGAAAGGCATTTTGGTATATTATTATCGTTTATTAATTAAGTGGGAGGGTTTGGGTTGGTACCCGCTTTCACCGTCCTTGGCCAGTATGCAGTGGTCGCCCTTGCCACACCCAGGACATAAGCCACGGGTCACAAGGACCGAGCGACCCTTGCCTTCCGCCACGCTTACGTCCTAGGAAGTACCATTAAAAGTTCCGATTAACCTTGTCTGATATGGCCGGTAGGAATATATTTACATTAATGAATACCATGGAACAAACCAAATTAGTACTTTCCTTGAATTTCGACCCTTTCCTTCGATTTCGACCCTTGAATTTCCTTGAACAATCAAAACCACTAGATTTTCTAAGGAATACTCACGGAGTTCAGTCCTGTCGCCGCAGTCGATATTGACTGGAGTGTCGCATCGTTCCTTGGAAGTGTTGGAGTCGTCGAAGAGTAACCCATCCGGACACAGCTTCTCCTCCGCTTCCCCGTTCTCGCAGTGGTAGTACAGGTCGCACTGTACTGCGTCGGGGTAATATGAGTTCTTGTTGTTTGGGCATTTGAAAGCTGTCTGCGCCAAGCAGCCTTGTATGAAAATAAGAATTTATAATTAAGTGGATGATCTTAGTTTTAAAGTTCTAAGTAATTCCTTATAACTTTAATAATTCCCTTTAGTACATAGTATCGTCGCCACCATGTTAAAGTAACGATTTTGAAACGTTGCACAGATTAACATTCATTTCTTTAACATGATGATATATTTAATGAGATTTTTTTTAAAAGTCTAAAGTTGGATTTTTATACCAATAAATACCACTTTCTAAACTAAACTGATCAATTCTCAAAGCTATATTCACATTTTTTTTAAAAAAGTATTTCATTGTTAAAGGCACTATAATTCATAAACAAGTTCTAAAAAAATATAACCTATAAACAAGAGGATTCGGATGGTTATGAAGTTTATTATGGAAGGATAGGTATCTGGATTGGGCCAAATCGGAAAGATATGGAACATTAAGGACTTTATGGATTATTTTATTTATGGCAATGTAAGGAGCATTGAGGATTTTACGAAGGATTTTGGATTGTAAGGATTGGATACGAGAGGAATTGGATGGTTTATTGGAGCCCCATAGCTCAACTCCGTAAGTCCAAATAAGTCTTATTATAGTCATGTATATGAGTCTTTTGTAATTAATTGCAAGTTTAGAGCGTTTGTCTAGTAAATGTTGGAGTAAGCAGAAAGGTCGAGCAATTTTTTGTTGTTTCAGTCTTGTATGAGGATTTCAGGTGAGACGTTTGTCCAGGTATTGGATTTATTCTACAGGGATTTATAACTCTTAAATATAAACTATAGCATCTTAAACTTTGAACGTAACGATGCTTTGATATTTTAAATGAACTTTGGACTTTAAAGATTCCTGCAAACATGCATAGCGCGATATATCTCGACGATACAATATTCCTGTCAGCAGTGATATGGCGATATTTGAAACTCTATCTTTTGCATTATAACAGTCACTCAGACCATAATAATCCGCAGCGATATCAACTAAGGGATATCGTATCGTCGGCACATATCGGTGTGCGAAATCAAATAAAATTATATCTTTGACTTACCAAGAAGTCACAATCTTGAAGCAAGAAGACACAATATTTAACTTAAACTTATCATATATTATAGAATGGAATTAGATTTGAAAAGAAGTGGCAATATGAGGTTTGTTACTACTCAAGATACTAAATGATATTAAATCACTTTTCAGAGCAGATAGAATACAAAATTGATTACTATGTCTTATGTATTTTTTAAAAGGAAAAAGAAATACGTTATAGATCTATTTATGTTATATATTATAAAAGAATGTCTTATGTTATAATTATCAAACTATAGCTATTACTGTGTTTCGTTTTCCAGTAACCTCTTATTCTATTATAGTCAGTTAAAATGTTTTAACAAATAGAACCTGTTGTAACATTTTGTGTTAAAAGGTGTTATTTAAAAATGGAAACAATCATAATAACTGATTTGGTCATTGTACGTTTCATACGTCAGATTTAGATCAGAATATAATAAAAACAAAAAGAGCTTTCTTCTCTCGAATAATTCTGAAATATGAAGTGTCAATAAGAATCTCAAATTAATGATGTGCTTTGCAAACATTGAAACAGTTCCAATATAGGACTGTGGGTCCTGGCCTCTTACAAGAAAAATGTTGGAAGATTTCAGAGGAAAATACTTCTCACGATAAACGGAAAGATCTAGGATCAGGCAAAAACCAACAAAGGTAAGGAGATAGGCGGGATATGTTGCTCGGAGCAATCTTTCAGAAAGTCTCTGTACTACAATAAATGCCTCAATAGTAAGCAGTAGGCAAGTGACCACGTGGAAGGCCAACAATCATATGGATAGATGGAATTAACAAAGATGGAATAGAGCTTAATGCAGATAACTGGAAAGAAATATCTCCAAGCTAAGCAGAGATGGAGAAAACTGATTGAGGTGGCACAATATCTACAAGGTCTGTGATGTCAATATTGCGTGTTTGTGACTTGGAAATATTATTAAAGAAAAAAAACATACTTTTCCCATTTATTTAACATAGGACTTCAAATTCAGATATCAATAAGAATTTCAAATCAAGGGTGTAAAATGCAATCATAAAATCAGTTATAATATATGACTGAGTTATAAACACTAACCAATATACAAGAAAAAATGGAAGATTTCAGAGGAAAATACTTCACACAATAAACGGAGCGATCAAGGATCAGGAAAAATACAACAAAGGCCAGAAGGTTGCGATAGCTGGGATCGAAATAGATCGAAGCAATTCTTCAATTGCTTGGAAGTCTTTGTACTACTAATAAAAGCCTCAATAGTAGGCAAGCGACCACGTGGAAGAGCAAATACCAGATAGGATTATGGAATCAGTAGGATGAAATTCTACATCAAAATGAAGAACTGCTTGAAAAAGATTGGAAAGCAATAGCATCTATGTAGTTTACAACATTTGCAAGGTCTACAGACAAAAAAAAATTTATTAATTGATGTCATTCGTAAAACTAATCACTGATATAGTTAATAAAATATGAACAAATTTTCACAGGATTTTTTTCCCGCCTTGTATGAAATATTGCATCATTCCAATAACACCAGCACATTCTCTCTACCATACAAATTGTACTATACTCAACAATTTTACAAAGAAATGTATATCTAAGGCACAAAATAAAAGTATGTTAATACACTTTACTTAGAAAGAAGGGTGCATGTATAAAAAAATAGCTCCACCCATGATAAATATGGAACAGTTAGTATTACCCGACCTTTGGCAAGGTGACCTACATTTTATTCGTCTGATTCATTCAACTTTCAAGTATATGTCTGCAGTGTGAAAAAACTATAGTTCAAAAGTCAACTATTCGTTTGAAAACATTGAACAAGTTTTTCCATACAATGCAATGCTTATATAACTACTATCTACCACGTGATGGAGTGAATTTTTAGCTTCATATTTTTTATCTTAATTCTTCTGAAAGCAAAATCAAATTAAGGTTATTTTATAGAAAAGCGTTTTTGAAATTTTCTTTGTAATAGCTCTGTGAATTTTAGAGTTAATATATCCATATTGAGTTGCATTAATATTTACGAGAAATATTTTTTTAAAGTGAAAAAATCGATACTTAAATAAAATATTATTGAGTTTTTAAAATGTGGAAAGATATTTTTTTGTTTAATAACAATGTAGTTATTGTAATCAACTTCTAAAAACGTAATTTTCATAACGATTTCCTGACTCTCCCAATATACACAAAGTATTATAAATTTATCTTTAATAGTATATGCTGTTAGCTTCAATATAATGTAGCATTTGATAAATCTCAAACGTTTGCAATTTATTATTTTGCTCTAGTTGAATCAGACCATAGTTCACAACCTTGATCTATCATTTGCCTATCTCTGCTGCCATGCCTGGAAGAAATAAGAATAAGAAATGTTATAACACAGTGCACACTATGAAAAAAAAAATGAGTATCATAAAGATCAATTCAGAATTGTGTCCAGAGCAAAAAATGTGTCCTGATCTCCTTTAGAATTTTTAAAGGTCATGTCGAATGAGGTCTCGGCAAGAATTCAAATTTGACATTTGGCTTCGTCCAGACAGATTCCATTTTAACAGGCGTATTGTGCAATGTTAAAAATATTTTTAGGGGTTTTTAATTATCATTAACAATAATAATGGAGTTTATATTAAAATAACAATCTCTTAAATAATTTTTTATTTAGTTGTTAAATTATTTGCTTTGTTAAAATGTTTTAAATTTTGGTAACGTGATTTTTGAAGATTTTTATGTGATGCCACATTTTTCTTTTAAATTTTATATTTTAGAGACATTGATATAGTTGACTGATAAAATTATAAGGATATGACGGTAAATTTTAAATTTAATTTTAATTATTTTGAATTTATTATTTTTTAATTTTAGCCCGTATGATGACCCATGAGATTGGGTCGAAACGTCGGAAAACTTAAGAAACTGCATACTCTGAATAATTTTCATCCTCAAATTCTAATTTAAAGTATTATTAAAATATTTTGTATCGTATTTCTTTTTTTAAATGTAGAATCGTACATTCTTGAGAAAATCGTAAATTTTTCACATATGTACATTTTCTTTTTTTCAGCGGATATGACCATTTCATAGTGTAAAAAAAAATTTATTTTCTTTTTGACTAAGCTGTCCATATGAAAAACTCCTATTGTGCTTTACAAAGGGCTTCTAATTGAGTGTTCTCTATGTGTAAATAACTTCTCGATTGTTTATTGAGCCGTTTCTCCTTTGACTGAAAAAGGAAAAATAAAGAATCTTGAAGTAACTTTCTCAGAAGACGAGCTGTTGTATAATGAACCAGTTAATAATAGTTCTCGGTGGCCTTCTTTATTACAAGGTGCTTTGTTTAGCCCTGCTTATCTTCTCTGTATAAGTTGCAATTACTTTTCATTTAGCTGGATAGCAATAAGTATCTTCTATGATAAGAATTAATTCCATTCATCAATTAAAAATTTAACACGTTAGTTGTAAATTTGTTATTAGAATCTAAAAATAAAAATAAATAAATAGAATTCATGAAAATTGTTTTGTGGCTTAATTGTTTGGAAAAGAGATTTTTATGATTTAGTTTTAGCATTGGTCCAGAAATAATAAAGCCATTTGTCGAATCACAGTTGAATGGACCTAATTCGTTTAATAAGGTCTTAAGACCGTATTCCTTTTAGATAACGGTTTAATAAGGCGTTACCTCCATCGTGACACAATCGATAATGAGAAGAGGGTCTGTTATGGAATTCGAATAGGGTAGACAAGTGGCAGAAAAACGTAAGAATGAAGATAACATTTAACATAAAGGGCGAAAGAGAGAGTGAGAGCGATAAGGTGCTAGAGAAAGGAGCGATACTTACGAAGAAAAGAACTAATAATAGTAGTTATTCTCTTTTTGTTCCGTTATAAATTATCTTATGAAACCACCTGAAAAATTATTAGAAAGTCGTTTAGGTTTGATTGAACTGTTTTTTATTTTATTTTTTTATTTAATCTTACTTTGCTTATTGATAAGCGGTTCATGTAACTCTGCTAAAGTTTTTAGTACTTTTAATGGTCCAAATATTTAACATTGAAAAACTGGAGAATAATAGATTCGTTGGATACGCTTGAACTATCTCCTTGTGACGAATCAATTTTGAACTCTCATGATAAAAAAAAAAAATCGAATGATTTTCAAAATAAATTAATTTTAAATTGGAGGTTTAATATATTTTTGTTTTTAAATGAAATACCTGTGTAAAATATTTGCATTTCTAGATTTCTATTTATCTATGTTGAGGTTGTCTTTTTTACGTTTTATATTCATCAAAAAATACAGCATAATTCCATGTGAATCGTCATAAAATTAAATGTTCCTGTCAGTGCTAATCCGTTTCTCAAAGAATTTTGCATTTGCGATTTTGCACGGTGGACTGTGAAAGACTGATTTGTAATGCAGATAGGAGTTTATTCACAGTGTATCTTGCGCTATGTGTACTGGCGAAACGTGTGTGTCACTTAACAAGCACATGTTGACTGAATAGGAATCAGTCTATTCTTGACATAGAGTGCTATTATATTTTAATTATGTAACATAAACTTATCATCAAAAATATATATTTGGGAATTACCTCCAACTGTTTTGTAAAATGAATAGTTTTTTGGCGAATAAATCTATTCCAGGTGAGTGGATCACGATTTCTTTTGAAATGATATGATAGTGCATTATAGTAATGTAGCTTATACTTCTATGTATCCATTATAGATACTATATAAATAATGATATAAGATATATTTGAATAATATATTAAAAAGTAAGCTACTCACCCGATGTAAGCGCTAGAAGGATCAGTGTTCCGTACATGTCTGCCGCCGGAGGTGGACTTAACCTGGTACCGCAAGCTCTTCGGCTCCCCTCCACCGCCCCTCCAATCTCGGTTCTTTTCTCACCCTCTTTATCACTCCTTCTGTTTGGTCCGCCCTCATCAGCTTTTGCATCCTTTTCCTCTTCTTTCCGCTCCCGTTTTCTAACCGCATTTGATGTCGGATGCATTCATCTATGGAAACAGGAACTACCGGTAAAGGTCATGAGAAAACGACCCTGAGATAGTCTAGTTTAATATCGATATTTTCATTTTAAAAGGAAATCGTTTTTCTTTCGCAATCTTATATTTTTTGAAGAAAAAGCTTAAAGTCGTGTAAAATACGCTCCATTATTTAACAATAAAAACATTTTTTACTCTAAAAACTTAGTACCGTAAACCGTGGTTACGAGTTTATGTTGAATTTGAAATAACCTGGGGACTGGAACACTGTTCCTAAAAGTAATCCTGGTTTGCGTTACTGAAAGTTACTGCACATAAACCCTTAGGTACTCACAATAAAATCGATGAAAAATTCTTAAAAAATGTAATGCTCAATTTCATGAATGTTTGGAATATGATAAATATTTCAGACTTACGGAATGTAATTTTATTTTAACAAATCTTCATTAAAATGTCAGATGTCAATAGCCGTTATTTGTATTTATTATTGATTTCTTCAACAGCTAAAGAAATTTAAATTAAATTTAAAAAGAACGGACTTCTTGTCTGTTAAAGTAATGTTAAAGTCTGACTTTAGGGAGACGAAGATTCCCCGAAATTTTCATGAATAAATAGTGTTCAAAGACTAGTTGTGATTATTTATTAAATTGACCTTAAGCTGTTAAAAGTTATTTTAGAAAAAAGTGTCTGTAAAAATAATAAAAAAATATTTGAAGACTATTTTAAGATTTAAAATTAATAGTCCGTGGTACAGAGCCCTTTTTATAAAATTATTAACATCCGGCTGAAACTTCGTAAATAGCTCTATCTCATCGTAAACTACAAATAATTTATTTACGAAAACTCTGGGAATTGGTCCGTTTTTAATCTGGAGGTTTGCAAACTTTGTCTATTTAATTAATTTCTTTATTGAGATATATTACAATCTGTCACATTCAAGGACAATGATAATAGTGATTAGGGTAGCTCATTCATACTATGCACAATAAATAAAAGTAATAAACAGCAATAAAATAATACTGAACGTAAATGTATATAAACAAAATAAAAATATATTAATCTAACAAAATAAATACTTAAAAATATACATTCTTTTATACAATATTTGTCTATTTAGTTAGGTACTAAAAACTTGTAAATTCTCATTTGCTTTCCACTTGAATCGTAAGATAACTTGAGCATAAAGTCGACAAAAAAAGTGACCTTAAAAAATATTGAGCCGTTTGGCGTGACCTACACCCCCAAAATGTCAAAATAACGAGGTTGTATAGGCCCAATATTTTTGAAGGTCACATTTTTTCTCGACTTTATGCTCAGGTTATCTTACGATTCAAGTCGAAAGCAAATGGATATTTACGAGTTTCCACTTCTTATAAATCTTACGAAATCCTCAGTCAAATCCTTAATGCCTCTTGTTACATCACAAATAAAATTATCCATAATCACTTTAACATTCCATTTGTTGCAGATTTGGCCCTAAATAGATATTTCTCTTTTAATTCCAAACTTCATGGCCACCCTACTCTCTAGTCCATAATATTTTATCAAAAAAAACAACAACAAAAAAAACAAAAAAAAACTAACAACCCTCCGAGGCATCTGAAAGAAATATCGCGGAAAAATAAGAGGTCTCCTAAATTAATGTAATCATTGAAGTGCTGCTACCAATGGGTAGTTTATTTACAAACTCTTATCATTTGTATCATTATATCAACATTTATTTGCTCTATTTTATTAAATTTATTAAATTCCTAACAATCCTGCAGGAAATTTGAAAGAGATATCGGCAATGGGTCTTCTAAATTAATGTAATCATTGAGGTGCTATCAGTGGGTAGTTTCTTTACAAATTCATACCAAGTTGTATGAAATTTACTTGCTGTATTTTATTTATAAAGCTGTAATATTCAAAAATGAATAATAAAGTTATTAGCATCTCGCTTACCTTCTATTTATTATGGATTATAAATAGGGTATTTACAGCCTCCATTCTCTTTTAAACTGTGAAGCATGAACTTCTTTAGAAGCTATTTACGTTAAAGGATTAATACATCAAATTATAAAATAGAAATTAATTTTTTCCTGTCTATATTCATTATTATTCAAAAGTGTTTTATTGTCGGTACGCTATTTCTTCGTCAATTCTTCATTAAATGCAATATTTGATAGACAATTTTTAGACTATCTTCTTCAGGTGCGAAAAATAAGGACATTCCACAGAAACGTCAGAAAAAAGTCATGAAGTAAAGGTAGTTTTTTCGCATATAATTCAAAAAGAATACAATTTATCGTTAATTATACCTACAATAATTATTATAATTATTAATTGGAGTTGGGGTAGTCGTACGGGCTAAGGCGCTTGCAATAGATAATCAAAGTTAAGCAAAGTAGAGTGTGGTTAGTACTTGGATGGGTGACCGGCCACCAGGGAAAGCCAAGCTGTCCGCGTCCCCCCCCTCACACAGACCGGGCGTAGGACTGATGACCCTACCCCGTGTACTTAATCGGAAATCGAGATGTGGTCTACCAGGATGTTAGTAGCCCCCCGAGGTTCGGTCCATGGACGGTCTGTTTCGGGGAAAGAAACATAGGTCCTCGTGCGCCTGCTGACTCCGAGCAGCCATAATCCATGGATCAAGACCGATTTGTCACTGTCCTTGAACCCGAGTGAGTCGGTGGGAAGGACACTGCCAGATTGGCCCCAAAGGGATCGGCTATGGAGCTACGGGTGGCCTGCTGCTGCACCATGGAGACCATGGTTCGTAGCAACGTGAGGTTGGTTGACCCCCTCCAGGCTATCTCAGCTCCCGCAAACAGCATACGTCTGTAAGGAGATCACATCTCGCTGGCAAAGATCTTCTTGGTCTGTAGTGCCAACCGAAAAAAAAAAATACCTTCCGTAATTAGAAATGTTTCTAGTTCCCTAAGAAACGTTAAAAAAAAATCAAGTTGTACCAATTTTTTAATTATAACCGATTGTACTTTGTTAACGTTTTGGTCTATTATTTTGAACGGAAGTTAATTTTTTCCTCTCATAAATCATTGTATTAACTTATTTCATATGACTGTAATTTTTTCATTGAAATAACTGTATGCGATTTGTTCCTACAGGTCAGGTTTTTATTTATAATAATTATTCTTTGTAATTATAGTAAATAAAATTAAAAAAATCTGACACCAAATGACACGTTTATTTACTGAAAGTGGATGTATTCGACAAGAACATGACTCGTGAGAAATCTGCGTCGTTGATTGTGCTGTTCATTCTAGGGCTCTGTGCCAGTCTCGAAAAATAATTGGTACCAAAACTTCTGGCTATACTATACCTGTGAATATTTTTTCATAGGTGTGGTAAATAACGATTAGGCGTAAATTATGCAAAACATGTTATATCGACACGTTTGCTGACTTTTGTTACTCCAGTTTTAATAAATTAATTATATAAATTATCGATATTTTTGTTTAAAAAATTAGTGCTCATGAATGATATCACAATACATAATTCCTAATGAACTATAACATAATCTATAATCAAGTTACCACCTTAGTAGCCACGTTACAGAGGGAAAGTATGTTTGCATAGGGGGTAACGTGGGTTGACTTGCTGATGAACATGTCAAAATTATTACTTGTAGTTGTTTTTTTTTGTGATTTAGAGAAATTGTACAATATTAAAAAGCTCATGTCATTTAGTAGCATTTTAGAAAATTAAATCACAAAGTAATTTTATGAACTCTCCCTCTATGAAATTAAAATTTGTGCATTCAGTATTGCTGTTTTAAGATGCGTTTAGACATTTGACAAACACCATTATTTAACTTCACTAACAGCGATATTACTGCTAAACCAAACTATTTATTTTATTTCTCTTGATACCGACTGCAGATGGAAAACATCAAGAAACATAAATACTTACATAGTGAAATAACCATTTATATTTCTGTTTGTCTCATAGTTTGTGACATGTCTAAACGCACTTTTAGACACTCTGCAGTGTTTGATTATTTCAAATGGTTTTATCAGTTTTTTGTTTGGATATGTAAGATCGAAGTTCACAATCAAAATTTAACATTATGTCCGTCAAAGGCTTCAAAATTAAAAACGTTTTGAAGTAAAAACTTCTTTAGGCGCGTTTTGCACTTTTTTTGTAGAGATGAATTAGACAAAGCAGTCAGATTTCCGATGTGTAACGGTCGGATAGCGTCGACTAATTGAAGTGTTTTTCAAATAAAAATCGGACGTGCATTTTATTAGCAAGGGAATCGTTCATCATTTTATACTTTTTTTAACAAGCTATTATTGAAAATTGTATCTCAACGCGATACAGTTTCAAAGGGGCGAAAATGACAAAAATAGTGCCGAAAACCAAATTAAAACGAGTTTTCTTGAAGATGTGGATTAAAATATTTCAGAAACTAAAAATCGGATTTGCATACTGTAAGTGGGGGAAATGTTCAACATTTCATCCTCTTTATAATAAGCTATTATTTATAATTATATTTCATATTATTAATCTCGCCTTGTTGATGTTTACATTTCTATCGTTTGGTCTAATGCTTACACCTTAGTTCTTTTGTGATAAACTGACGGTATGTTATAAATGTAGTTCGGAAAATACTTCCTTCCATTCTAGCTCCAGTCTCGTTCCAACCCACTTATTCATGACCTTGTTTCTAACTCTATTCCTGATGATCCTCCGTGTCGTATGAAAAGAAGGTAGCCTCGTGACCTTCTTGTTTTGAGCAGTCATTGGGTTGCTGTGCTACATTGCTATATATTGGCGTAGTATCTCCATAATGTAATAGTGCCATTTTTAGTAATAATATTTTTCTAATATATAGTAAATCATATTATATAAAATAAGGCTGTATTTTTTATTACTTCACCACATTTATTTCACTTTACATCTACATTGGCTACGTTTCGGCTAGTTATTTTTTATTTTCGGCCATTTTCAAGCCATTTGTAAGATAAACACTATTAATTTCAATAACTGATGCAAGTTTACA